ACTATGCTAGCTACTGTGAAGAAAATTAACTCTATCCCAGCTGAAACCAGGACACAGACAAGGGCCAGTACCTATAATACAGAAATTTCTGAAGCACAGATTATTAGTAGAACGTGAAACTAAATATAACACCCTAATATTGCCTGTAAAAGGGGCTAATGTAAAAGAGTATAGACTATTTCAAGAGCTGAGAGCAATCAGTCAGATAGCACAGGATATCCATCCTGTGGTTGCAAATCCTTGTACGTTGTTAACCGCTCTCACCAAGAAACAAGAATGGTTTACAGTGCTAGACTTAAAAGATGCCTTTTTCTGTATTCCTTTCGAGCCTAAGAGCCAGGTGCTTTTTGCTTTTGAATGGGAAAACCCTGAAACTGGGAGGAAAACACAATACACATGGACAGTCTTACTACAGGGCTTTTAGAATAGCCCAACTATTTTTGGAAACCAATTAGCACAAGAATTAGAAATTTGGAAGAAAGAAAACAGTCAAGGGACTTTGTCACAGTATGTAGATGACATACTGATTGCAACAGAAAACAGAAGAATAGGGCATGGCACAATACATCAGCCTCCTGAACTTTACGGGAACTAGTGGCTATCAGGTGTCAAAAAGGCCCAGATAACCCAGAAAGTGGTAACTTCCCTGGGTTTTGAAATTTTAAGAGGACAAAGACAATTGGGAACTGAAAAGAAAGCAATTTGTTGACTCCCTGAACCCAGGACTTCAAAGAACTACAAGCATTTCTGGGAATGGTGGGATGGTGTCATCTGTGGATTATGAGCTATGGACTTTAGATATGAACAACTTAAAGCTTCTAATAGTTCAAGTAATGGTTTTACAGACTGGACTGACACTGGTAAGGCTGCATTCAAAGAACTAAAGCAAGCATTGATGAAGGCACCAGGTTTGGGTTTGCCAGTCCTCACAAAAATGCTTGAACTTTTTAATCATGAAAGAAAAGGAATGGCTCTGGGTGTCCTATCACAATACCTTGGACCAAATCGCCAGGCTGTTGAAACAACTAGATAATGTGACTCTGGGGTGGCATGGCTGTTTGAAGGCTGTTGCTGAAGCTCGCAATTTTACCATGGGACAGAGGATTGTAATCTGTGTCCCACATATGGTGATCACTATATTAGAACAGAAAGGAGGGCATTGGCTATACCCTAGCAGGATGTTAAAAGTACCAAGCAGTGTTTTTGGAGCAGGATGACGTCCATTTAAAAACCACCACCATTGTTAACCCTGCCATGTTCCTGACAAGTGGTCAAGCCAAAGGAAAGCTGGAATATGATTGCTAACAGATGATCGAGGAAGTCTACACGAGCTGACCAGACCTTAAAGACACCCCATCAGAAGAGCCGGATTTGGAGCTGTATACAGATGGAAGCAGCTTTAACTGAGAAGGAAAACACCTGTCTGGGTATATGGTAACCACCACCAACAAGGTAATTGAATTGTGAGCTTTACCTTCGAATGCGTCGGCCCAGAAGGCTGAAATAATAGTGCTTACCAGGGTGCTAGAATTGAGCCAAGGAAATTGGGTCAACATACGGACAGACTCTAAATATGCTTTTGGAATAGTGCACACACATGGAGTAATATGGAAAGAAAGAGGACTTTTGTCGGCGCAAGGAACCACCATTTGGCATGCAGAACAAGTAACGAAATTATCAGAAGCCATCCAGAAGCCAGCAGCAGTTGCAATAATGCATTGTAAGGCACACCAGTCAGGTAAAACTGTTCCCAAAACAGATAATCAATTGGCAGATGAGGCTGCTAGAGAGGCTGCAGAAAAAGGCATCCTAGCTTTAGTCCCAGAAAGG